ATTACTCACACTTCTGACACCCAAGTCTTCCATGAGGTCAGCCATCTCTTCATCCTCCCCTGGAGCCAAAAGGAAGAGAGGCCTGTGAGTACTCAGGGAGGTTCTCCTGTTTTCCCAAAGCTCACCCAAATTTCATTCTGCCTCCTGGCTCATCAGGTTGAGGGAGCTGCCAACCCCAGCTCCAAAAATCCTATGGGAGACAAAACCCCTGAACACTGACCCTTTCCTCTTCCCATCCTAGGTCTCAGGGACAATAGACCCTCAAAGAAGTGGTGATTCCACTTCAGTGGTAAATAAGCTCTCTTTGCAGTTCTAAGAAAGCCCCAGGTTTCCTGGGGAGCTAGGCACTCCTGTAGCCCCATATATTTCACTTTGCCGGGAGGACTGCTTTATTCTCCTACCTGAGAACCTCTGCAAGATGAAAAGAGTTCTGGAGATTAGCTGTACATCAATGTGAGTGTATTCAACAGTAGTGTACTGTACACTTAAAAATGATTGAGATGGTAAATTCTGTTATGTGTATTTTACCATAATTTTTAAAAAGCTATCAGTGTGTGTGTGTGTGTGTGTGTGTGTGTACATATATATAAATAAAAGTATGAAACCGATCAGTTGGAAAGAAGACAAACTCAAGTCAAGTCAATCAATACTCAGATGATGTCACAAGAGAGCATATGACTAATTGCTGAAGACTGGTCAGTCTCTGGGCTTGCCAGGAGTTCTGATGGAACAAGGCCTGAAGGCTAAAGGGCCAGGGAAAGGCCTTAAAGAAGGACTGGAGCTGAATCTTATAGAACAAGGAGGGTTTAGGAAGGTAGGAGGAGAGGGGAGAGGCGTTTTTAGCATCAGGAAGGGAATAAGGAGACAGGAATTATCAAGGGTGAGAGGGGAGCAGCGATGAGACCAAATCAGGAAATAGTGTCATCACATTTTTACCCTACATGTACATGTGCTGTTCAGGTTCCCATTTCATTTTCACAACAACTCTGAAGTTGGTATTGGTATTATACCCATTTTGGCGCAGAGAGGTTAAATAATTGTCCAGTCACACAGCTGGTCAATTTGGTGCAGAGGCAGTGTGAGAACACTGGTTAGGAGGCTGTAGTGAGTAAAGGGCCCAGGGATCATAGGAGTGGGGGCCAAACAAAAGAGGAAAGAAGACAGATACATTTTAGAAGACCTATGCTTTTGTGATCTAACGAATGATATATGCAGAGAGGGAGCAGGAAAGACAAAACAGGACTTGGAGATGTCACCTGAGTGGCTCCTGGACAACAGGAGACAATGGAATCAGGGAATTAGGAGAATCTGAGACTGGCTCTTTCCACCTCTAAGTGAGATTCTGGGCCTCAGCCAAATTTAAGCTTTTGAAAAAAAAAAAAAAAAAAAAAAGGAGAAGGAAAGAACACAACAGAATAGAAACCAAGAAAGTGCACTGCGCATGGTAAGCAGAAGTATTGCATTTTGAAAGTTTTGTTTGAATTATAGAACTGTATAAATGGCTTGGTTACAAAATTAAAAGATTTCTTAATGTGGTCAAAAAAGAGTGAGAAAGTTGTCTTAGTTACAAGCTCCTTATCTCTGTTTTTATCTATGCTTCCTCAACAAATGCTCATGGAATGAGTGAATGAACAACTAAGCAAATGAATGAACAATAGAGTACAGCTCTGGTCCAGGCCAGGAGCAGCTGCATTCCCAGAGTGGGCAGGCGGCCTCACCTTTAGTGCCTTCCTCTTCCTCCATCTTGCTGGTGGCAGTGTCCTCGTCCTCCTCCCGGATGATCAGCCGGCCATCGGAGCTCACTTTGAAGCCATGGTCCTTCTTTTTGCCTCGCCCAGGCCCAGGCTGTGTGGCTGGCATGGCAGAGTCAGGCAGTGAGGAGGTGGAAGGTCAGTCACACCCTCATCCTAACCAACAAGCCCAGGTCTGTGCCCTGGATGGGTGTCCGAAGCACAATGGTGTGCACGCGTGAGGGTGAGGGGCACCCACTGGACTTCAGGGAAGTCACTCCCCACCCTGAACCTGGCACTAAGGCAAGCCTGTTTCCTGAGCCTACAGGCCAGCTGCTTCTTGCTTACCTAGGACTCGCTGGGCCACCTTGGGGTCCAGGAAGTTGAGGGGCTCATCCCCGCCACCTTCCTTCAGCCATGCCCGGCTCTTCTGCCGGGTCAGCCTCCGCTGCTCCTTGCCCCGGCTCCTTTCCTCCTCCTCATTGTCCTCATCCTCAGAGTCAGCCAAAATCTCCTCAATGCTAAGGACAGAGAAGCCCCAAGTCAGGGCACTCCCAGGAGAGGCAGAAGCAGCCAGGAACTGGGTGGACTCTGGGTTGGGGAAGACCAGGTCCCCAGGACCCTACCACTGGTCTCACCTGTCACCTTTGCCCTGGGCAGGCTCCTCCTCCTCTTCTTCCTCTTCCTCCTCAGCCTGGCTCAGAGCACGGTGCCTCTTGGCACGGGCCTCAGCTTTCCGGATGTTGACCAGGACTTTGTGGTACTCCTCAGGCAGCAGCCCCTTCACTAGCTCAAACCTGAAGGGCGATGAAGCTCTGTTGATGTGCACTGGCCAGAGGGCGCCACCCAGTTAGGAGGTGTACAGCCAGAGCCCTTCTGGCCACAGGGGAAGGACTTGGTTCCCCTGCCCAGCCTTTTCTCTGTTGGGTCTTGAAACCCCTCTACTTCTTCCCTGTTCCCCTGTTCCCCACATTCAGAACACAGACCCAAACTTGCGGATGAACTTGGTGAACAGGTTCCGAAGCTTCATGCGGAAGTGCCGCCGCATATCGTCTGATAGCTTCCCGATGGCTTCCATCTGCAGGGTGGAACACCAGGGTTTCAGTGGGAGGCTGCCTCCACCTTGCCTGCCCCAGATGAGGAACATAGGAGGACCAGGCTCGGCTAAGAGGTGAGGGCAAAAATGGCCCTGTTCCTGGCTCAGCCCTTGGTCCAATCAGCCTCTGCAGTCTGGCAGCCCCCATTTTTCCCCTAAACCCTCCTTTATGACAATCCCTGACCACCCTGCTGAGATTACAGCTTGAGATCTTTCGAACAGGGTTTGGTACCTTACATGCATTATTTCATTGAATCCTTAGAGCAACACAGTGAGGCAGATAATAACACCCCCAATTTACAGATGAGAAAACTGAGGCACAGAGTTAAGTAGTTGCTAACTGGCCACAAAGGAAGGAGTTAGCCCAGGTCTAATTTCATGGCCCACACATGGTCTCCAACTAGGTTTCTCTTAGTTCCATATGTCCCTTCTATCATCCTGCCTTAATCTCTGGCTGGACTCTTCTCAAGCCTTCGTGTGGCCTGGTTTGGGAAACGTGGGTGGCTCGTATTATCTGCAGTGTCTCTCAGTGGGGCTAAGGATAGGGCCCCACTCATCCTTTGAAGGGCTTTTTATAAATTCTAATAACTCCAGAACAGATCTCTGCTCTGGCTGTTCTCCCATCTTTGGTCCCCAGTTAGGCTGTAGGTGTTGGAGGGTGGGCAAATTATCCTGACTCTAATCTGCCCCTTCTCGCCTTGACCCAAGGCCAGGTACAAAAATTATAAGCAAGAGGAACCTGGAGGTCTAATATGATTCAACCCAGCAGCAAGCAGGAAACTGAAGCAGCAGGTACAGTGGACAGAGGGTTTGAAAGGCATCTTGCTGCACACTTTATGCCTGGCTGGAGTGGGCCAAGAAGCCAGTACTAGAGGGCTCTTTCTGCAACCCAGCAGGGACACCCAGAAGAGCATCCTCAAACTCCAAAGGTCAAAATGTAAGCAAGAGAAAAAAGTGAGATGAGAGCCGTGCCAGGGAGAGCCCAGAGTCTCAGTCCCGAGCTTTGGGTTCTGTTCCCAGGACTGCTCTCAATAGCACTGTGACCTGGGGAAATCTCTGGCCTCACTTTCCTCATCTATAAAATGTGGGTGGCCCTGTCCACTGGCCTTTGCCCTGCCAGAGCCCTTGCTTCTGTGGAGGGGCCAAGGGGGGTGACATGCAGCACTATGCCCCTTCTTCAACTCCGCCAGGTTGGCATTCTCCTACTGGTCCCTTCTAGGGCACCTGCATGACCTTCTGTTGCACAAGATAACGTGTAGTTAAAATATGTTGAAATTTTCTGGCCTTGCGGCTCATTGGTTCCATGATACCAGCTTGGAGGCCACGTTACCACCAAGAGGAAGGTGGGTACTTACCACCAGCTGTACATGCTTGGCCAGGTGTGCCACATCCATGACAACCACTGCCACCTTGATAAAGCCCAGCGCTGATTTGACCACGTCACGTGTGCGGGAGGCTAGGAGCAGGCACACATTTTCCAGCAGCTGCTCTACCGTGCTGGTCCCCATCAGACCTGTGATGGCCAGAGGGCCACTGTTAGAGATACCTAGAACTCCACCCAAACCTGAGACCTTGCCAAGTCACCAGAAGGGAAGCTTCCATGTGCCTAGCATGGTTCTGATCACTTTCCATGAAGTATCTCCTCTGGTTCTTCAGCCACCCTAGGAGGAGGTGCCATTTTTCACTTCTATTTTTAGAGGCAAGAGAGTCAGCTTCCAAGACATTCGTAAACATACTGGTAAGAGGCAGAACCAGGACTAAATTGGGGAGGGGACCTATCTCCTCAGATCCACTTGAGAATGGGAAATGAGGCAGCTGTGGGGAGGTGGGAGGGCCAAGCTGGGGAGCAGAGGAGATGGGAGGTGGCCGGGCTTGGCTCCAGCTTTTCTTCCTCCCTCCTGTGACCTTTCCTCTAGCTGGTAGCCACCCGGCCCTAACCTTCTGGGCATTTTCCTACTCTGAGGGCTTCCCAGGCTTTCAAGGAAGTCGCATTTACCTTTAAACTCAAAAAGAAGGTGGGTCAGGGCCAGGATGCTACAGCTGACCATCGTGACAGCACCCACGAGGCCGGGGTAGATCAGGATGAGGTAGCGCTGCAGGGCCTCTGGGAGGATAGAGGGCAGGACAAATTGTACCAGGGCAGAGCCCAGCCCACACACTGCATCCTGGGCCCACTGGGGAGGGGGATTATGGCCAGAGAGGAGCAGCCTGCTCAGGTCCAGAGCCAGACAACACTCCCTGCCTTTTCTCTTTGACCGGTGGTTTTGAGGGGTACTCCCCCCACGCCTGGGTGCAGAGTGTTCACCCCAGCCCCATGTCACTTGGGCCTCACCTTCTTGGCTCGGCCCAAACCGAAGGAAAGCGTGGCCCATTTCCACCAGCAGGGCAAAAGCATTCTTCCGAGCACCCACTGACACCTCTTTGGTACACAGGATCACCTGTCCAGAGAGCCCCATAAGCACATACTCCTGAGCTACCCACCTTGAGGTTGGTGGAATGAGGCAGAGGGGCCAGGTAAGTGCATCCATGCTCCTGGGCAGTATATCAAGCCCACCCCCAGCCCCAATACTGCCCTCCTCTGATCCCGACAGGCCTTTAGGAGCCACACTCCAAGGAACCCCCAAAACACCCATTGCCCTAAATCCCTTACCTCCGGGACAAGGGCTGTGATGAACTCCTCATGCTCCGCTGTGAGCTTCTTCACAATATGTATGAGGCATTTCAAACGGGGCTACAGGACAGAGGGGACAACAGTCAGAACCCCTCAATGCTGCCCCAGTCCCTAAGCATCTCTACTGTGGTCCTCCCCTTGGGCAGAGCAGGGCTGCCCTGGAGTCTTCACCCTCTTGGCAGGCGAGGAAGTTGTCCGCAGAGAGTCCAGCAGAGTCTTCTTCAAGTCGTCTAGGTGGCTCTGCACGAAGTGGGCCCCGGGGCCCTGGGGACTAGCACACACCTCCTCCAGCACACGGTAGGCCTTCTTCTGTACTCCATGGGCCTTGCTCTGGAAGGGCACATGCAGAATAGAGATGGGTGAGGAGGGTGCACTGGGGGTCCACCACCCATCTGATGACACTCCCAGAGTAGTCACCGTTAACTGTGGCCAGTACCGGAGGGGATTCAGAGAAGCTGGTCCTGCCTCCTGGACTTTATGAAGTCTGATAAGAGGGGCAGCGGAGTATGGACAACAAGAGGCTAGCTCTGCTATGTGGGGATGCTGTGGGGAGAAAAGCCAACCCAGACCTCCAATTCATTCCACTAACCCACTTCTAAGCAACACTCATGCCAGCGGCATGAATTCACAGTGCCTGGAATGTGCCAAGACTGTGAGCCCGCTCATCTTTCTACCGGAGTACTCTTCTCTTTCTTTGCCTAACTCCTTGCTGTTCCAAAGCGCTCTCTGTCACTCCCCACTGGACACCTCTCCTGAGGTTAGGTGGCCCTGCCTTGGACTCTGGGTCTGCCTGTATGTTCCAGTCCAGAGCACTTCTCACACTATTGGATAACTGCTTATTAAATTGTTGCCGTGGTGACAGTTTTCAGGGGGTCACTGCTGGCCTGAGTTTGCCTGGTGGACAGAGGATCTCGCATGAGCAAAAGGGACCATTATATCTGGGACTCTTAAAACAGCTTAATGAGGCCAGAGTGGCAGTGGGGGAATAAGAGGGGACAAGGGGGGGATGAGGTGATTGGAATGAAGATTAGTCCAGGCTACGATGGCCCAGTGAGTGAGCCAGGCAAAGGAGGATGGCCTTGGTTCTACGGGAGGCATCTCAGCAGATAAGGCCCGAGCGCGGCTGTGCATTTCAGTCATTTTGGCAGCTATATGACAGATGGGCTAGACACCATGACAAAGCAGATAAAGACTTGATCTTGGGCAGTAGAAAAGGATGAAGACAAGACAGGCCCCACCTTTCTAAGGGGTCCCTTCCTCCCCCTAAGTGTAGTTGTTGGGGCTCCTGGCCCCGGGTCTCACCTCTAAGTAGGGCCTGATGTTGGAGTACAGCTTGCTGATGGCAGCTTCATCTACATGAGGAGCCAAGGCGACAACCAGGTCCAGGACAGACAATCTGCTCGGAGGACAAGAGACCAAGAAGGAGCTTAATGAAGACTGAAGAAAGGCACAGACTGTCAGTGTCCTATGTCTACTGGGTACAGGTAGTTAGTACGTCCACCCTACAGATGAGGGCAGAGGCAGAGTGAATAAGCAACCTGTCCAAGGTCACAAAGCCCGTAAGTGGTGGATTTGAACCCGGGCAGTGAGTCTCCAGGGTTCTCATTCTTATAGCCCTAGCAGGCTATAACGCCTCTGAAGGAAAGGGTCAATCAGGCCTGACAGTAGAGCTAGAACATTCACTATCTCAAGTCTTTCCTAAATCATCCCAGAGATAATCCGCAGGCTTCTGCTAGACATACACTCTAGCTCCCTGGGCTGCCTCAGCTCAAGTGGGGCTTTTTACCTGGTGAAGTCAGAGCTAGCAGGGTCGAGCACCTTCTCACTGGCTTTTTCCAGGAAACCATTCGCCAACTGGCAGCCCCAAAGGGATGAGAAAGAGGGAGTTGTTGAAGAGAGAAATACAGAGCAGCAGCAGGTCTCAGAACTGTGCCTTCTTCTCTATCTCCCTTTACTCCATGGTTTAGAAACCCTGAGGCCAGCCCAGCCGCCACCACTGGTTATCTGGACCCCTGTTCTCCAGCTGGCAGAGGCCCAAGTGAGGCTTGGTGGTTAGGGTCTCGGCCTTTCCAGTATACCCACCCAACAATCACTACCTGAGAGCTTTCCTCTTCATGTGTCAGCTCACCTGAGGCTCGGTAATGGTGAGATAAGTTTTGATGGTTTCCAGAACAGCCCGGCGAGGGGCTGGGGTGTCCCCAGCTGCGACAGGCTGCCCATACAGGTTAAAGAGGATTGGCAGAAAGTTCTTGGCAAAGCGGCTCACTTCGGCACGGTCAGCCTCTGGCAGAAGGACCAAAGTTTGCATAAAAGGGGCAGGAGTTGAGTCCACTGAGATGCAGCCCAGAGGCATCCTTCTGGGGGACCTATGACAGGACCATGGATGTGGGGCTTCTCTGGGACAGGAGAGGTTGAGGCCACAGCACAGAGAACTCGGTGCCACCGTGGTCTATGCTCTCCCACAGCTCCTGTCCTGGGGCCAGCAAAACCCTGCAACACTGACTAGATAACTTCTCACAGCTGTCAGCACATCGGGAATAAGGAGAGAAAAAGGGCAGGTTTCTGTGTCCTTGGGTCTCCAGCAGAAGCCCCAGGTCCTTGCAGAGGGTGAACTATGGCTCAGGTAATGAGCCATAACAGGTCAAAAGATGGGGTCAGGGGACCCATGCTGTTGCAGCTACCCTCCCACTAGCTCCTAACCCCAGAGCCCACATGCACCTGCTTCACAGCCCTTGGTGATGAGGGTGCGCAGGGCCTGGCACACGGTGACTCTCAGGTCTGGGCGCTCACTGATAGCTGTACCCAATGTCCGCGCCAGCCCTTTGAAGGAGGTGGCCACATCTGTGGGCCTTGTGCAGAAACCAGGCAGAAGGGTCCAGATCTGGAGGGAAACAACAGTAAAGGAGAGTGACACTCAGCAACCTGCACCCCCGCACTGTCAACCCACATCCCCGCAACTGACCCTTTACCTGCCACTGTAGTGTGTCATAGATCTTGGACTCTACCGTGCTGCCCGCCTGGGCCAGGTCCATTGCTAGAGTGTGACACAAGGACATAGTATGACCCTGAGCATCTTCCTGGCCACCAGGCCTCATTTTCACCAAAACCAAAAGCCCAGTGATGAGGACAAGAATATGGGTGATTCCCCTCCACCCCATAGATTGAAACTGTTCCTTCTAAAAACCTAAAATGACCTGTATAAAATAGAAAAGGGGTGTCTCCCCATAAGCTTACTCCCCCAGGGTGGCCACTCTCTCTTCTTATATTTCTTTAAACGCACATACATTTAAAAAAACATAAACAGGATTTTACTATACATAATTGTTCTGAAACCTCGTTTTACGCGACAATTATAATAAAGTTGGTAACACCTATTGAGCAATTTCTATGTGACAGGCTGTGTAATGGGCACTTACATGATCATTTCTTTTAACCTTCACAATGTCACAATTATCATCCTCATTTTACAGATGAAGAGCAGATCCAGGAGTTGAATAAACTTGCCCAAAGCCAAACTGGTGTGGCTGAGCTGAGACGGAATCGAATCTATTCGTCTCACCATCTACTAAACATGCCCATGTCAAGTCTCTTTTTTTCTTTACAATGACCCCATTGTGTCCCACAGTGGGCTTTACCATAACTAACTTCACCGAAACCCTATCGAGGGACGTGTCAGTTGTCTTAGTTTTTGGTAAGGACACCTCTTCATATGCATAAATCACTATGTACTTGTCTAATTATTTCCTTAGTGGAAGAGGAGACCAAAGTCTGCCTGCCACAGGGCAGGGACCTATAATGGGGAAAGGCCAGGCTATGCCTCAGAGCAGAGGGAAGGTACAGGCCCACTGAGTTAGGCATTTAAGCACTGGCTGGCCACCTGTTTGGCAGAGGAAGACTATCAAGTGGGGTGGGGTGCTGGACCAGAAGTCCTTCTCGACCCCCTTCTAGCTGAGGCTCCAGGACTGCAGTGGGCCCCATACCTTTGCTTTTCAGAGTGGTAGCCAGGGGCAAGAAGTAGGCAGTGAAGAAACCAAGTCGTGTTTCCCGGACATTGTCCCGGATGACGGGCAGCAGCCAGCTCCGTGGGAAGTCCAGAGTCTCTCTGGGAGGAGACAGGGATGGCCCAGTGAGGAAGAGGTGACAGCTTGGAGGAGACAGCGTACCCAGAAGGTCCCCTGAACTAAGGAGCAGTGTAAACCCTGCTCCAACCTCTTGATGACTCCTGCACTGCACAGAGACTTCACCCAAAGGAGTGTACACCCTTCTGGGGAACAGCAAGCTGTCTGACCCTCCTGGAGTTCATACAGAAACCATCTAGGGTCACACTTACTCAGAGCCATCAATTTCCAGAGGCACAGCCTGCAAAACCACCTCAGGTCCCATGCTGGCCACTGCAGCCCCCACTGCCTGGTCCAGAGCTGCTGTGTGGGGAAAATGTGGGGAGAGGCGCAGGTCACACAGGGACTGGAGGCACTGGAGCAGAAACGAGAGATTATACGTGAAGAGGTGCTCACAGGGCAGGCACCCGTGGCTAAGTGAGCCAAAGCCTATAAGACAACGAGGTCAGGAGCGTGGGCCCAGGTTAACCTCTAGGTCAGAGTTAACAAACCAATAACCAAATGTAACCCACTGATATGTCTGACCCCTCCCCGATGCACCAGAAATTTTTTAAATTCTGTATTTATTAGTAACATGTAAAAATCAGGAAATTTTACATATGAATATAGATTTCCAGTTTATCTTGAAAAATGAGGTCTGCCAAAGGCCAACCTGCCTGTGACAACTAGCAAATTAGCAGGCACTGAGGAGCGGCTGCCCCTCCACACAGAGCTGCACTGTCTGGTTCACCACAGCCCTGGAGGAAGCCCGCCCTCCCAGGAGTGGCTGGCTCTTTTCTTCCAACCAGCAATGACTACGGGGGAGGGGAGTTGTCAGTGAGGAAGACGCCACAAGGCCGGGAGCTGCTCCATCTGCCTGTGCTCAGGCCTCGCCCTCTCCCAGACCTGAGGAGGATCCCTGATGGTTTACTCTGGATTGCAGTCACCTCCCTGAGACCTAAGGCTGCTTAAGACACTATTCTCACTCAAGGAAAATTTAGAGAATTAAAAATGAAAAGAACAGGTAGGAATGAGAGAGAATCATTGAACTGGTTCCCTATTCAAAACCATCAACTCCAGCCAACACTAGTGGGCAGGTAGAGGGGCGTTCCTGCCCCTCTTCTTGTTCTTCCCAGTCACCTTCATGGGGACACAGTACTGAGCACCTGCTGTGGGCACTATGTGTGTGTGGGGAGGAGTCAAAGTGCAGAGATAACAGAGATCCCTAAAAGCCCGAAGTCTAAAAATCCACCACCGCAACTCACCTTCTTCATCACAGGATGGGCCTGCCTCCCACATGCCTCGAAGAAGACACACAGTAATTGCAACACAGAGCTCCATGCTGCATGGAATTTGTACGTCAGGCCCTCCTCCACTGCCCTGCCAAGGGAGCAAGAAGTCAGGGTCATGGTCACACCCCCAGGCCCCAACCGGGATGTCAATGGCTGCCACCACGATCTACAGACCACCAAATGGCCATTAAAGGCAGGGCCCCAGGAAAGGCCAAGGAGAACTAGCATTTATGAAGTGCTCACATTGCTCCCTTCGCTAAGAGTTTAATTTATATAATCCTTACTTAAAGAAAAACCTGTGAGGTAGGTTATTTGTTCTATATTCAAATGGGGAAACTGAGGCTCAGAGAGATGAAACAACCTGCCAGGGTCACTCTGCTAGGGGCCAAACTGGGCCTCCAAAGCCCAGGCTTTGTCACTGTCCCACGCTTTCTTGGCCTGACCCGAGGTGGGATAGTGGGGTAAGAACAGGCGGTCTGGGCAGAATTGCACCACGGAGGGCTGGCCCAGCAGTGAGCCCCTTCAGCATGTGCACACCTTGGTCAGCTCCACCTCCCAAAATTTAGGCCCCTGGGGTTTTGGGGCTAGAATAGCCAACAGGGGTCAGTATGAGAAAAGGGGTGAGCAAGGGGTGGGGGCAATTCTATTCCTATTTTACTAAAACTTCATTCTGGATGTACCCACAGAAAATAGGCCTATTTCCTCATAAGAAGCAGTACCCAAAGCATTATACCTTGAGGCTCAGCAGAGAGACCCAGAGACACCAAGGATCCCAGCCCATTTCCTAGAACCACTCAGTGTGCTTGGGGCTGCGAGGCTCTTCACTGCCCGCCAGGATGGTGAGGATGGGTCAGTGGCCATGTGATTAAGAGTGGACTCTGTGGTTAGGCTGCCACTTATTAGCTGGGTGACCTCAGCCTGTCCATCTATAAAATGGGGCCAGTACCTATCTCTTAGAACCATAGGGATTACTAGTAGTTTCTATTTATTGAGTGCTTAACTACATGCCAGGTACAGTTCTGAGCGCTTTACATATATTACTTCCTTTAATCTTAACTTCTATTAGTCAGTCCCCTTTGACTGATGAGGACCCTCAGGTAGTGAGAAGTGCAGGAACTTGCCACAGGTGACTGGCCCCAGAGTCCACATTCATGAGCACCATATTATGGCACCTGGAACGTGGCCGGTGCTCATACTGACAGCAGCTGCTCTGGCATTGTGTGTACACATGGCCCAGAGTAAATGACAAGTAGAACACTTGTCATTATAAGGAACTCTCTACAAAGTACACTTTATTCCTTCCTATTGTGGATGCTATCTATGTTCTCACCTGAACATCTTGGCAACATACTGGGCAGGGCCTGAGGCTGAGGTGGTCACGAAGCCAATGTCGGCCATGTGGGGAGCAACACATTCCTTCAGGGTCTCCTACAAAAAGAAGTCACAGCTGTCTGGACCCAAGACAGCCCCCCAGTGCCACGGAGCCCTCCCAGGTCTCTGTTTCCTGAAGCTTCTGGGAAGCCTATTCCTACCACAGAACCTCCTCCCAGGATACAGCTGGAGGTCTTGGGCAAGCCTAGGAGAGACTGAGCAGCTGGCAGAACCTCTTGTGCTCTCTGCTCCTCCCACTAAAGCTCGGGTTGGGGGTGGGGTTGCGGTACCTGGAGGCTCTGGGTGGCAGCTGTCACGACCTGTGAGTGGGGGGAGAGGAGGCATGTCGTCGCAGTTCCAAAAAAGCGAGGGAGGTGGCCCAGTCCCAGGTCCCGCTGCAGTCTGTCAAGATGAAAGACTTCTGTGGGGTCTGGGCCTCGGGGACCTGGATGGCCCAGATCCAACAACAGCCATTGATCTGCAGGGGTCTACGCCACCCTTCTGGTGGGCCATTTTTAAAGAAATTCAAACAGGTCCTCAGAGTACAAAATGAAGATCATGCCTTCCTTACCACGCCTTTCTCCTGGACTAATCCTTAGATGCACTTCCCAGGGAGAAATCAAGGTTAAATTTCTTAAGTACTCTTCCAGAAATTTGTATGCATAAGACACATACAAAACAACAGCAATTGCTAACATTTATGCAACACTTATCGCATGCCAAACAGTGATGTAACAATATACATCAATTCACTTAAACCTTGAAAAAACCCCCCAAAACAGAAAAACAAAACCTTGAAAAAACTGAGATTAAGTCCTATTACAATTCCTATTTTAAAGATGAAGAAACTGAGGCAAAGAAAAGTCAAGTAACTTGCCCAAGGTCATCCAGCTAATGGGGAGAGGTTAGGAGTCACACCCTGGTAGTTTGTCTCAACTGAGTATACAAATAATCACACAATCTATACCGTTCTGTACCTTGCTTTTTCTCAATATATCTTGGAGGTCCTCCCACACCACCGTGTATACATCTACTTCAATTATTTCTAACGGCTGCCTATTATTTCACTGTTTGTATTTAATCAGTCCCCTCCAGGGGAATGTTTAGGTTGTCTCTAGTTTATGCACACAATAGTTTGTTTTTTTGCCATTACCTATGGTGCTATAACAAGTATCCTGGGCCATATACCCTGGCACAACTGTGGGAGTCTTCCTGCAGGATAAATCCTGAGCAGAAAATGTGGCTGTGTTGCCATTTTCTGGCACCTCCAGGTGAAAGGTGGTTTGGCACAGGAAGGACTTGGGCCTGACAGACCTAGGCTGCAGACCTGGCAATTCAGCCACATGACCAGCTGAATTGCAGGGCTTCAGTTTTTGGTTTATAAAATGGGCTAAGACCGTCCTCATGGGTGGTTGTGATCAGTGCAGTGAAACATGGATGCATAGCACTCAGCACAGTGCCTGGGGGAGCCTCAGGGACCTCAGAGACCTTCCCTCCAGGTAAAATGCAAATCACCAATTGATATGCTTCTTTTCTTCTCAGCCTTACTCAGAAAAAGTAGAATTATCAAGAGGCTACTATTAAGTGGTCAAGTTGAATTGTGATTGTTATGACAGAGGCACAAACTATAAACTGGGTTTACAGGGCTAAGAATCCCAGAGGAGGGGACCATTAACCCAAGTGGGGAGTCGGGTGAGCTGCAGAAAGCGGATGATATCCTCTGAGAAAGGAACCAACTGCACAGGATGACAGCCAGGGTGACAAGATCAGGATGGTACTTGGTCCCCACCCTGAGGGGTAGTGCTAGTTGGTCAACACTCTAGCAGGAAAGGCATAGGCCTTGGCTAACACAGGCTATGCTACCCACCCCATGCCTCATAAAAACAGGAGGTGGCCCACTGTATATTCGAAGTAGAACTGCTGCCAACCCCAGGAAGCTGAACCCCCCGCAGTTTCCAGCTCACATCCCTTCTATCTGCACCACAGGGCAGGTAGCCTGGCTGGAGGCTCTCAGACGCCCCTCCACCTCACCCTACCTGACCAGGTTGATGTGGGCTTTCTCCATGACCTTCAGCCAGGCCAGCAGGGGTTGTAAGTCATTCTCACTGGGAACATAGTCATATAAGGCCTAGAGGCAAGATTGAATAAGCACACGTCTCACCAAGTGCATTTGGCAGTAGCCCAAAGACAATGACCCCTTCTATCCCTAGGCACCAGCATGTCTCAGTAATAGGCCTACACAGTCCCTTTGGCCTTCCTAGCTCCAGCCTTTCTCTGCTCTGTGAAGCCTTTCTGGTTTTGCTTCTATGGGATAAGTCTCCAGGAGCAGTCAAGTATAACTTGGGTCACATGACCCATTGTGAACCAGACAAAAGCACAGAGCCCTTCTCCAGAAAAATGTACATGAGCACATGCACACATTTTGTAAACAATGTGGGGGAATTTATGTATCCTTCCCCAAATCCATCCATAGATCTTTGAGGTTAAGAACTCCTGCTGCAACAGTATCTGTTAATACCATGAGACCATGCTGAAATTGTTTATTAACTATCACCAAGTCAAGAGTCAGGGCCCCTAGCTCCTGTGGATGCTGATGAGGCTTTGGTGGATCGTCTCCTAGCTGCCTGTCTAATGGTCTCCTACACTGGGGCAGCCTAGCTCGCCCTATTTAATCTCACTCTGCAGACAAGTAACAGGGCTGCTCTACCTCACCCCAACACAGCCATGCCCCTCCCAACTTCCACCACCAGGCCTCACCGTGATGATCTGGGCATTGAGCTCTGCAGGCAAGGTACCTGGGCCAGGCTTGGCATGGAAGAGGCTGTGAAAGGCCTGCATGGCACACGCTGTCACTAGCTGGAGAGAAGACATAAGCTTAGTGGGGGAACTACAAAGCCCACAGTTGCCTTGTGCTTCTCAACCTCCTACTCCAGCCAGTGGGCTGGTGGGAGACCTGGGCCCCCTGAACTTCAAACATGCCCCCCATACCTGGACCCTCAAAGAACTGTCGCTTTAGCAAGTTATGGCAGCCACCAAAAACATTTTACATGATTTAAACAAAGACAATGGAGAAACATGAACAAGATGTTTTTAACATAATGGGCTAAGAAAGAAAGTAAGATATAAATGGTTTGTACACTATAATTAGAGTTGTATTTTCACATTTTTATGTATGTTTACCCAAAGAGAAAATGTCTGAAAGGATACACAAGAAGTTGTTTTAAATGGTTTTTACCTTTTAAACAATGATAATCTTATTTATATAATACTTTAAAATATGTATGTGAACTGACACTACAAAAGAATATAGAAGGATTAAGAGAATTGTGCTAGGATGACAGAAATGCAGGGGACAATTTTTATGTATCTTTAAAGTCACTTACTGATTTGTTAGTTAAGTAAGCAAAAGAAAAAATAAAAGAAGAAAAAAAAAAGGAAGGAGGGAGGGAGGGAGGAAGGAAGGAAGGGAGAAAAGAAGGGAGGAGGAAGAAGAAAAAATGAAGGAGATTTTTTTTTTTATCAGCCCCATCATGGCTCCACCCTGCTCTGCCCTGATCTCTGAGGCCAGCTCCCAACTGGACCAGGACCCTGAAGACAGCTGTCTTTCTGACACCAGGGATGAGCTGCCAGGCCTTGCTTCTGGACTGATCGGGGAGTTCTCTGAGCACACAGCCATGCCCCTACCAACCTGGAGGGGCCTGGGATCTGCAGCTATGCACCCACCTCCCTTGGCGTGCCCCCACCCAACGGCTCTTGAGGCCTGAGCTCACCACATGGCTCAAGGTCATGACCCTGAGGAGAGTCTCACTGCAGCTCTTCACCAAGCCTTCCGGGAAGCAGGGCAGCAGGTCCTTCAGCAGTGTCAGCATGTGCAGTGTGGTGGTGGCCTCCTTGGAGCCTGGCGGAAAAAGGGGAGCTGAGACTCCAGCCAACTCTCTGCAGTAGGCCCTGTCCTCCTCAGCCGGCCCCAGCCCCCACCCACCCTGCCCACAGCCTGGCTCCCACCTCCAGACTTCTCAATTTCCTGGATGCAGAACTTGGCAGTGGAAATGGCAGCAGGATGATGGGCAGGGGCCTTCTCACCAAACATGAATTCACTGCCCTTGAGGACTGAGCACACTCCATGCTGGGCAGCTTTCCGGATCTGAGGGGCAAGGAAAGGGGGTCAGGTCCAGGTTAACATCTAACCAGCAGCTAGGGTGGTCTGCACAACCATCGGCCAGCAATCAGTGACTGCACATCTCCCGATGATATGCCCAAGGCTTCGCACGTAGATGCTCAAGCTGTGGAGCGAGACAAACCTCAGCTCCAATCCCCACTCTCCTCTTAGCCCACCAAACAGCCCTAAGCAAGCCAAGCAACTTAATCTCCAAGCTTCTGTGTCCTCATCTTTACAACAGGGATTCATTCACTCATTTGATGTCAGCAACACTGAATGTTCACCAAGCCGTCACTGTTCTTAGTGCTGGCGGTGTGGAAGTGAACGGAGCAAACAACTCATGTTCTACTTAGGAGGCAGAAAATAAACAATTGTATACCAGAAGATAAAAGTACTCTGCAGACAATAAAGCAGGGGCTGTTACTTTTTATATGGTGGTCAGAAAAGTGTCACTTCATTAAAGCGACATTTCAGCAGAGACCCGAAGAAAGTGAGGAAAGACCACGTGGAGACCCAGTGCTCAACACAGGAGTGGTTACTAAGACTGTTATTATTATTACATGTTCCCTGCCCTAAATTTCAGGAGGAAATACAGTGGCCAACCACCACTTACTGAGCGCCTGCTATAAGCAGGAGCTGCGCCAGGCCTATGAAGAATGCCAGTGTCTTCCCACACCCTCGAAGCAAAGTTGGTATTATTATCCCTATTTCACAACTGTGTAACTGAGACTCAGAGATTAAGTAACTTGCCTAAGGTCATGGCAAAACTGGAGTCCAACTCAGTTTTATGTGACTCCAAAGCCCGGCTCCAGCCTCACTCCTGCCACTGCAACTAACATGTCACTGCCTAGAAGGGCCTGACATCCCCCAAGTAGGAGGAGGAGCTGCCCCTTGCCTTCTGGAGCTGAGCAGATGGGTCCTCAGAAGCAGGAAGCAGAACCTCAGGGCAAGAGCCGGACTCCAGGTAAGCTCTCTGATCCCACTCAGTCAGGCCAGCCCAGCCCCGCCTCCTGGAGTGGCTTGGCTCCCTCCTGTATTTTGGGGGCTCAGTAGCCTCACCTTGGGCTTGGCGTGCACAGTGAAACTCAGCAGTCCATGGTACACCTGCAGGGTCACAGGGTAGCCCCAGGCCTCCAGGTCCTGCTTCCGCAGAAGGGTGGCCATGCACGAGAGGACCTTGAAGAGAAAAGTCAGAGTCTCTCAGCTCCACCCACTTCAGCCAGGTGGGAATAAAGCCCAGGTCCTCACTGACCCCAGAAAATCCCACGTGAGTGACGGAGTGTCCACACCCCTCCTAGGGAGCAACCAAGCTTTAGCCTAATCAGATGGGCCCTGGGAGATGGTAGAGGGGAAACTGACCCATCGGAGGGCAGAGGTGGAGCCACTGCTGGCCTGGGCTGACATGATATCCATGAAGGCTTTGGAGGTATCAGAGAACTTCTTAATGAGCACAGGGCTGGGCACTCTGTGGGGAGAGAACAGAGAAAGTCAGAACCCCAGAGGGGCCTCTGAGAGCAGCTGGTGCCGCCCCCCCTGCCGGTCTGGAGGAAGCTGGACAGAGGGAGGCAGTGCTGGTCTAGTCACTCAGAGAGTGAGCAAGTCAGGACAGGAGCTCACCCTTCCTGACACCTGGTCAATGAGCTCTACATGGCACCTGAGCTCCCTACTTCCTTCACCTTCTCCACTACTCATTCTCTATACTACCCAAGACGGGCCTTTAAAACTCACCCCAATCCTCTCTCCACCTTTACCCTGGCTACAGACCTCCAGATATCCTCGCGCCAACATTCCGCCCCATCCATCCAGTCCCAATGACTGTACCTGGGCTGTCTCCTTTTCAGGCACCAGCATTCATTTTGTCTACAACATCCCAAGCCACCCCTGGACCCTGATGTTATAGACTATCACCAGATACTCCAGTATCTTTTCACTCTTTTAAACAATTCCCCGATCTTCCTCCCATCCACACCCTCTTCTCTCCACAAAGTGCGTTGGGATTCAGACAGGAGCTAGGACTCACCGCTTCAACAAGGTTCACAACAGCAGCGAGAGACGCTGGGGACTCCACTGCTTCCATGGTTGTCATCTGAGGGCCAGATCACCAAGTGTGAACAGGAAATGTGTCACACTGGGCACATGAGGTGCTGGAGGCACCTCATGTGCCCAGCAAAATGGTTATGACCAAGAAGCTTGGTGTCAAAGTTCAAATCCCGGCTTTGCCACTGTGCGACTTTGGGTGAGCAACTTAACCTTTCTGTGACTCAGTTTCCTCATTTGTAAAATAAGGATAATAGTTCCTTCTTATAAGTTATGAGGTTTAATTGAACTAATATACGTGAAACAATCAGAATACTGCCTGGCACATGATTAAAACCCTGTATTGCTATCTATTTCATTATTCTAGAGCAGATTAGTAAATTTTTATTGTAAAGGAATAGATGATAAATATTTAAGGCTTTGCAGGCCAGATATCGTCTCTGTTACATATTCTTCTTTGAGTGTTTTAACAATCCTTTAAAAATGTAAAAAGTACTCTTAGCTCTCAGATTGTACAAAAACAGGCCACAGGTCAGATTATGCCTTTGTTTTGTTTTGTTTTCAGATTAAGCTTTTGGGCAGCAGTTTGCCAACCCTATTCTATAGTAGTGATTCTCAAACTTTTACACCCTTAAAAATTATTGAGGATTCCCTAAAGGCTTTTTGTTTTTGTAGGTTACACCTCCTGATACTTACCATATTAAAAATTAAAAGTAAGAAAATTTTCAAACACAAGAATATGCAAGCACAATTCCATTAGCTATCAAAATAATGTCATCAGACATCACATAACTTCCAGAAAACTCCAAGGTACACTCCTGAGAGAGTGAGAGTCAAAGAGGTAAATGATGTTTGAGTACTAACATAGAAATAATTTTGACCTAGCCGACTCCCCAAAAGGGTCTTGGGGACCTTCAAACCACATTTTGAAAACTGTTTTTCTAGAGGATCCCTTGGGTTTTACTCAGCTTCACAGATCAAGGTGAAAAAACCTAGACTAATGGATCTTTGTTCTACACAAATAATGCAGCAAACAACACCAGCCTTACCAAGCCACTGGGAAATGACAGAAGCACTTTCACCTGTTCAAGGTTGTCCTTCTCTCCCCACATGCCAGGGACACCCATCTTCTTTCTATAGCCTGAATAACCTGCTACTCTGAACACCTGCCCCCAGTCACATCCACTCACCAGTGCTGCAAAGTACTCAGTCTCCGTCTCCTTCCCTCCCTGTGAGCGAATCACCTCAGTGACAGCAGCCAAAACAGCACAGATCTGTACATGAGGGAGAAAGCACCTATAACATCTATTTTAGATTTAACTCGACCCCAGGGTAACTCTTTTCTTTGCTCCTTCACAACTTAGTCTCCTCATAGCCCACAGATAGACAAGAAAAGCAGTGTTCAGAGCAAGGGAACACACCACAGGGCCCACCACATAGGAAAGTCAGAAGATGTTTGTCAAAATTCCACCTCTAGGATGCTATCTCTTATAGAAATATCTACACAAATGTGCAAGCATTTATGCACAAGTGTGTTCACTGCAGCAACAAACTGTAACAACCAAGCAGCCATCAACAGGGGATATTATAATAGTATTATAATCTTAATAATAATGATAGATTCAAATGCTATGTAACTATAGAAAAGAATAAGGAATAACTATGTATATTAACATATAAATGCTGTTCAGTGGGGAAAAAGTTGCAGAACACTGTATATAAAAATATAAATAATATTTAAAATCATAATCATGTTTCAGTAAACAAACAAAATGTATATAAAATATACAAAAAAGGCTAGAGCAGTAATGTTGACAAGAGGTTAGTGAGCACTTAAAATATGACTAGTGTGACTGAGGTACTGAATCTTTACTTATTTTTTAAAATTTTTTAAAATTTATTTTTTTTTATGGTGACATTGGTTAATGAATTCCAATAAGTTTCAGCTGTACACTTTAACAGTAAGGCATATATGTATCTACACTGTGTGTTCACCTCCCATAGATTTCTTTCTGTCACCACATATTTGACCCCTTTTACCCCGTCTACGTCACCCCCCCACCTCGGTACTGAATCTTTAATTTAAAATTTTTAATTAATTAAACTTAAAAACAAATACTTAAGCCAATTATTGGAAAACAGATTTAGAACAATTTAGGTATATGAATCTACTTTTCAACTGTAAGTTTTATGAACTCTAAATACAAATAAAATATTTTCAGTGAAGCTTTAGCATCCAAATGGAGATGTTAAGGGTAAAATATGGACAAGATTTTGAAGCTTTAGTATGATAAAAATGAGGTAAAACATCTCATTATTTTTTATATTGATTATATGTTGCAATGATAATTTTTGTACACATTGGGTTAAATTAAATATATTATTAAGGTTAATTTCACCTGCTTTTTACTTTTTTTGTTTTTAACGTGGCCATTAGAAGATTTAAAGTTATATATGTGGCTTACATCATATTTCTTTTGGGACAGAAGGTAGATACACAATGACCCGTTAACAGTAGCTATCATGAAGAAGTTAAGTTGGGAGAAAACTTTCACATTTTTTCTACTTACATCACTTTGGTACCATGTATAATTTTGACATTTTTCATTTAAATGAAAAAATACAAATATATATATAATTTAAAAATATAAACTAAAAAAGGGAAATTTAGTTGTTAGATAAAACATTTCTAACCACTGTTACTCAGCATTAATTTACTCAACAAGTCTTTCTTGAAAATATTCTATGTAAAAAGTCCCGGGCTAGGTACAGTTAAAAAGAGAAATGTCTGCAAAACATTTCTACCCTCAAGAATTTTACACTTGAGAAAGAGAGATGTAAGAAAAAGCAGAAAGTGGAACCTACCCTAGGAGAAGTAATAAGTAGGAGACACAAAGGGGAGGAGAAGTGACACAGCATCCAGCAAAGCCCGCCTTGGAATAAAAAGCATGCGTCTGGCCCCTCTACACTATCACATGCCATCCTGACTCTCCCCCTACCTCCTTATGAGCAGCAGAGTTGGAATCCCAGAAGCGCTGCACTTTGCTAAAGGTGACATTGGTGCAGTCGGAGAGGCCACTGAGGAAGGTGGCCGAAGACTTCTCCGTGAGAGCCGGCGCGTCCTCTTCTTCCACAGCCATTTCAGAGGCTTCACTTTTGCCCAGGCGCAGGGCTCCTGACTGCAACTCATTATGCAGCTTTACAGCATCAACTGTTAGGTCGCTCTTTCCTGAAAACCAGAACACAAGGTAAGACCCCACCCCCGTAACACGCGCGCGCGCGCACGCACACACACACACACGCACACACACTTCTACCCAAATCTCCTTTTGGCCAAAAAAGAACCACTCCTACGAAACGAACCGGCAGAGTCCAGGCCCCCAACCTGAGAGGCTGAATTCTGAAGACGGTCTGCCTCATCAGCCCAGAAATGGAACACTGCAGGTAAAATTTTCTGCTTCCCTGTCCTGATGGCATAAGTGCCAGTGGGAGTTGACTGGGGGCTGCACTCAGGGAATATGGGAAATAAATGAAGGCGAAAGCTCTTTGAAAGCCACCAGGTTACTTATAGCCATGAGTCCCAACTCTTACACCTGTGGTCATTTCCTACCGTGGACTCAGGTTCCGAATTTGTTAAATGGGGAGGGTAGCCTTTACGACAGCTCCAGATCCGACACTTCCCAAGAGATGAAAGGTCCAATGTCTGGGCCACAGAGGCCCAGACCCATACAGACCCAGGCACGCCCAGAACCCCGCCGCAGACTGTGCCCGGGTTTCGGTCCTACTACCTGAGGGCCGGCTGAAGAAGCGGCTGCGGGCGGCCTGGCGGTGGCGGCAGATGGTGGGGTTGCTGTCGCTGCTATGGCCTTTCTTCCAGCGTTTCAACTTGGCAGAGACACCAGAAGGCAACTTCCCTGAGCGACCCATGTCGACTAAGCTTAAAAGACTGGCTTCCAGGGACGCAGAAACACGCGCAGAACCCACGTGGGTCCGCAGTCCTCTTCACTTCCTTTTCCTCTGGCGCCACTTCCGGATTCGCGTCCGTTACCGTGGTAAAACAGTCAACATCCGGTTTTGCCTTTCCTCCAGGCTCAAGATCACTGCCTCATGACAGCACTCAGTTCCCTTTTGTTAATCTCGTCTAATTTCACTTGAGAACCAGCAACCAAACCAAAGCTGATTCCCAATTTCCTGCCACAGAACCCAAAACCTTACAAAAGACGTTTTCCTCCCTCACTACAAATCAATAAATCTGATTTTGTCAAAGTAAGGCTTGATCCTGGTGGGTTTGAGCTGATTAGGCTTTAAACATTCATTTTTACATTTTTTAAGCTCTTATCGATAAGACACTTCGGTAAGTCAACCTTTTAAATGAACCAGAAGTCGACAAAATTGTTGCATCCGCTTCTTTCATTTGATATAGTGTGAGTTTTCCCCCTTACTATGATATAATGTGTCCCCCCAAAATTCATGTGTTGAAATTCTGACTCCCAAAGATGAAGGTATTGGGGAAGTCTTTGGGAAGTGCTTAAGTCTTGAGGGTGGAGCCCTCATGAATGGAACTGGTGCCTTATAAAAGAGAGCCCAGAGAGATTCCTAGCCCCTTGGACCAGGTGAAGACACAGTGAAAAGGCACCGGCTATGAACCAAGAAGCAAGCCCTTATACTGCCACCCTGATTGCAGACTTCCAGTCTCTGGAACTGAAAGAAATAACTTTCTGTTATTTATAAGCTACAAAAATGACAAAACTGAAGTTACCCTACTTCAGGCACATCCTGAGAAGGCAGAGTTCTTTGGAAAAAAAATACTGGAAAAAATAGAAGTCGGCTGGAAAAAAAGAAGACCAAATATGAGATAGACTGACTCGATAGGAAAAAGTCATGTGCAGGAGCTGAGCAGGGCTGCTGAGGACATGATTTTATGGACATCACTCATTCATAGGGTCACCATGAGTCAAAGTCAGAGCCAACTCAACAGCACGTAAAACACACATAAGCTACCCAGCCTGTGCTTTTTGTTATAGCAGCCAGAACAGATTAAGACACCTCTTGTTCTTAAAATCCTGCAACAAAAGTTCTTTGAATAATAAGTATATGTGTGTTGTAGAGAGAAAAAGAGGGACTAAAATAAGTGCACAAATGATAAAAATTCAAGAATAAATGTAAATACCAATAATTGTGATCAGTTTTTATTTAGTCAAATTGAGATAGTCTTTCATTCCACAATTAGAAACTCAAAGATCAAAACATACATTTCTGAGGGATTTAAGAGGTACCAAAGAATGGATTTTGTTCCACAAATAAAAAGCTGGGAATGAAGAGTAAAGGGAAGGCTGGAGAGAAATTCATGAAACTACAATGTTGGTGCTGGAAGCAGACACTTGAGGGGTCATCTAGATCAAAGGTCACATGCTGGTTAGTGTCAGTATTTTTACTGTTCCGCAGTAAAATAAGTACAATATAATGATGCTGGTATTCAAAGCCCTTTCTATTGAGAATAAATGGAAGGTTTTTTTCAAACACTATTATTTACGAAAATAAAGAGTTGCCGACCTTTTGTCATACATTATCCTTAAAAACAAGTTTACTAATGCGTGAAACTTCAAAATATCTACAAGTCAACTCTTCATTTGAATATCTGAACCAATTGTTCATTTTGCCAAGTCCAAAAGGTGATTTGCACAAGTTTCCACAACTTGGTAGTTTATTCGATGAGCCACAAAAATTGCCACCCATAAAAGAATAGATTGATCAACTGGAATACATTAAATGTAAGAAATTCTGCTCATGAAAAGACATCATGAAGAGCATTAAGAGGTGAGCCAAAGAGTAGGAGAAGAGTCTATGTCCATGCCACCCTGAACGTGCTCCATCTTGTCTAATCTTGGAAGCTAAGCAGGGTTGGGCCTGGTTAGTTCTTGGATGGGAGACCATCTAGGAATACCAGGTGCTATAGGCTTAAAAAAAAAAAAAAAAGAGTAGGAGGAGATATTTGCAATAAATATAACTAATGAAGTACATTAGAATGTATTTTTAAAATCCTACAAATCAATAAGAACAAGGCAGACAATTCAATAAAAAGAGTGAGCAAGAGGCATGAGCAAGGGGCACTTAACGAAAGTGGATATCCAAGTGTCCAATAAACATACAAAAAAATGCTCAATCTCATTAATCGACAGGGAAATGCAAATTAAAACTACAATGAAATGTCACTACACATCCACCAGAATGGCTAAAATTAAAAAGACTAAAATTAAAAAGATTAAGTGTTGGTGAGGATGTGGAGCAACTGGCCACATGTGCTACTGGTGGGAGTACGAACTGATACTATCACTTTGAAAAACTACATGCTATGGGTGATGAATGTACAATGCAAAATACATATGACTTATTGTTGAATTGTACACTTGAAACTTACTGCATTTCGTTAACCAATGTCACTATAATAAAATAAAATAAAAAGATGGAGCAAGAAAAAAGGAAAAACTGCATGGTAATATCTACTAAAACTGAATACACTGATTATACTTCGTAATCCAGCAATTCACTACAGGGTATGTACTCAACAGAGATGTATACATAAAATACATATATGATAATGTTCATATTAGCCAAATAGTGAGAATGACCCAATGTCCATCAACAGTAGAATGGAGAAATAAATTGTGGCATGTGGATATAATGGCATACTATAGTATTCAGGTGGATACAGCAATGCCACAGCAGGTATGATCTAAGTTGAGTGAAAGACTCCAGACACAAAAAAGTACATATTGCACAATTCCACTTAGATGATATTTCAAAAGCAAGCATAACTAATCTAAAATATTAGAAGTCAGGATAGCAGTTACCATGGTGGTAATTCTCAGAGCAGGCACAAGAGTGGTAATATTCTAATTTTTTATCAGAAAGGAGTTTACATGGATGTATTTGAAAATTCAGTGAGCTAGGCACTAATAATTTGTGCACTTTTCTGTATATATTAAACTTAATTGATTTACTAAAAATAAAAAGTGGTTCTCACACACAGAGCAGAGAGAGTATAAAGACTGTTGATGTGAGAAAGCGTCTTTGCAGAGAAGTCAAAGCCCAGCCTGACTTAGGCCCCAGCCACAGGAGTCAACACCACTACCCTCCGCTCCTGGGACACAGGCTGCGACCTGTGCAGTAAGGCTGAAAAAGGGGAACTGGTGGCTTGAGGAGGAAGAGGAAGCTGATTTTGGAAGCTGTTGTAGGAAGACTGATGTTCATGCCCAGAGGTCTAGATATGGACAGTTGCTGAGAGAGAGCAGAGAAAGTGTTAGGTTTGAGTCTGTAAGTACTTTACCACACACACTGAGCAAGGATTTAATCTCTCTGAATCTTCTCTTCATATTCTGAAAGTGGTAATAATAATGCTGAACCCACTGGGCTACTATGAGGATTCATTATGAATGTATGTGCATGTGAATATGCACAGTTCCCAAAATGATAGTGGTATATTGCAAAGGATGTGGTCATGCAACTTTGCCACCAGAGGGAGCTCTGCAAACAAGTTAAGGCTAAAATCCTACAGAGGGGCAGCCATACCTGCTGAGGCGGCTGGGATTTTGCAAATCAGTTGGGGAGATGAAGAGGGCCAGGGTAGTGGCAGCCTTCTTATCCTTTTCCTTGGCCATAGATACCTCTGACTAGATAGAGCCCCTGGATGAACCCCCAATCTGAAATGGACACTGGAGGGGCTACAGAACATCTGCTGATCCTCCATCTTGAGGCACTTTGCTCAGAGCCTCCTATAGGAGGCATGTGGTGCCAGGAGAGGGGACAAGAGGCATCCAGATGGCCAGAGCACACACTGTCTCAACCCTACTACACCCCAGGGTTCACCTTTTTGGTGAAGAACCAACCTCTCGATCCCTGAATTCCTGCAATGTCTTCCATCCAGAAGCATCAGCCATTTCCATGATTAGCCACAGTACATATAGCTAATAAGGACCACTCACATCTGTAGGATGGGCCCTGTAGTTATACTCTCTGGGTTAAAATCGAAGGACTACCACTTGCTGTGTGACTTGGAGCAAATTAGCTTCTTCTATAAGCCTCAGTTTTCCTCATGTAAAATGGAGATAAGAATGCTTACTTGTCTAGGTCCATGCTACCCTGAATGAGCCTGATCCCGTCTGATCTCGGAAGCTAAGCAGGGTCGGGCCTGGTTAGTACTTGGATGGGAGACC